CCCTCCTCCCTCCTCCCTCCTCCCTCCTCCTCCTCCTCCTCCTCCTCCTCCTCCTCCTCCTCCTCCTGGGTCAACCCGATCCGTGCCACCGCGCATCCGAGGGAGCGCGCCCTGGAGAGTCCAGCCAGCGAGGGCGCCTGCCCCGCCTCTGCATCCTCCTCCTCGCCCCTCCCTCTCTCCCTCTGCATTGTCCAGGAGGAGGAGGAGGAGGAGGAGGAGGAGGAGGAGGAGGAGGAGGAGCAACAACAGCAACAACAGTGGCAGCAGGAGGAGGGGGCCACGCTCGTGATCTGGACACACGCCGCTGTGCCCCTCATCCCTCCGCTCTGCAGCCTCGCCCGCCTCGCCTCTCCAGGGCAGATGGCGGGGACGCGTCGGAGCAGAGGTGCGCAGCCTCCCGGCGTCGCCGCGGCCAGAAAAGGAGCTCGCTCGCGGCGCGCGCCTCCGATGGCGGCAGGTCTCTGCAGACCATCAGGGTCTTTATAGTATTTGGCATGATCGCGACCACTGCGTATCGTCATCAGCACCACTATATTCGGCACTCCGACGACCGCGTTTGGCATCGTCGCCATCACCATCACCGCCATCCTCGTCGTCGTCGTCATCAGTCTTATTATTGTTGAGACGGAGCACGGCACGTGTGGAGGGGACATGTGGGGGCGGGGAGGTTGGGCTTGGTGGGTGGGTGCCTGGGGTTGCTGACCCAGGCAATATTTGTCACGCGTAATTCGCCTCTGTCCTGGCAGCGTGGCCGACACTTTGCCGGCAGTGTGGCGGTTTTGTGGCGTTCGTTCATGAAGCCAGCGAGTGTCTCGAGGCGCGCACTCGACCAAAAGAAGGGTGGTCGGTCGGTCCTTTCCTTGCCCAACACATGTCAGCATTATGAGTATTATTCGTCTGACTTTTACTCTGATGACAACCACTACCACCACCACCACCACCACCACCATCATCATCATCATCATCATCATCATCATCATCATCATCATCATCATCATCATCATCATCATCATCATCATCATCATTGGCATCATTGGCATCATTGGCATCAGCATCTTCATCAGCATCTCCATCATTATCAGCATCATCACCATCGTTATCATCAACTATATAGTCATAAACATCACCGTCATCATGTAATCATGCCCATCATCATCACAATCATAATCATCTTCGGCAGTAGAAGCGGAGCCGTCACAGCCGCCGTCGCGGCCAGAAAAGGAGCTCGCTCGCGAGGTGCATCTCCGATGATGGCAGGTCTCTGCAGTCATCGTAGTATTTGGCATGGTCGCGACCATCGCGTATCGTCATCAGCATCACCGTAATCGGCATACCGACGACCGCATTTGCCAGAGTCGTCATTACCATCATCATCGTCATCATCATCATTACCACCATCATCATCCTCATCATCATCATCATCATCATCATCCTCATCATTATCATCAGCATCGTCGCCATCATCATCCTATGCATCATCATCAGCAGCAGCATCATCATCGTCACCAGTATCATCATATCCATCTTCACCATCATGTTATCATCATCATTTGCATCAGCATCATCATCATCCTCACCATCGACATCGAAATCGGCATCGTTAGCATCATCAGCATCATCACCAGCATCATCATCGTCATCGACACCATAATAATCATATCATGTATACTCGTAGTAAGGGTTCTGAATCTAATGATAAGAGTAATCTTCGTAACAATACTAATAAACATCATCACCATCGTCATCATCATCATCATCATCAGCATCATCATCAGCATCATCATTATCATAGTCGTCATCAGCAGCAGCAGCAGCAGCACCATCATCAGCATCAGCATCATCACCACCACCATTATCAGCAGCATCAGCATCGCCATCACCATCATCATCAGCAGTAAAAGCGGAGCCGTCACAGCCGCCGTCGCGGGATGTTCGCGGGCACGGGCAGATCCCAGCGCACGCGCATCCAGCAGACGCCGGAGGAGACCAGGCACGACGCGAAGGAGCATACGCTTGGCATCGCTCGGACGTGTGCATTTTTCCTTCGGCGAGGACCATCGAGGAGCATCCTTGATCATTTGGCGAAAAAACCACGCACGAAACCGATCAAAAACACAGGGAATGGAAGTCCGAGCGATGGCCAGTACGGGCACTACCTCTGCGAGGGGTGCGGCTCCAGGGTGCCAAGGGCCATCGTGCAGGCGTGGCTTGCTGGGCAGTGGGTGGCAGCGACGTCTTCGAGGGCGTGTCCCTTCACTGCGGTGGAGGCGCCGGCGGCGCAGATCGGCAAGTTGTGCGCCCACCCCTCCCGCACGGGCGAGGTCGGCAGGGCGCTGTGGAGGTCCACTGCTGCGCCACGTGCGGGGCCATCGCGCGCGAGATGATGAAGTGCCCAGCCGAGCCGTGCGAGTGGCACGCGAAGCAGGGCGATCGCACGCGAGATGATGAAGTACCCAGCCGAGCCGTGCGAGTGGCACGCGAAGGCGGGGAAGCAGAACGTGAGTAGGATCCCGAAGGGGCTCATGCCTGGTGGTTCGGCCTGCGCGAGGCCGTACAACGCTGCCAGGATGAAGTGAAGTGAACTGCGGGATGCTCGTGCGCCGCCGTTTGTGGCGCCGACCGCCCGACCTATCCGAGCCTCGGCCGTGGCATCCGCAGGAGCTCTGTCACAAGAACACATCATCAGCACCATCATCATGAGCATACTCATCACCACCATCATCATCATCATCATCATCATCATCATCATCATCATCATCATCATCATCATCATCATCATCATCATCACCATCACCATCACCATCACCATCATGATCACTCACTTCCGTGACCGTCATCATCACCATCACCAGTACCATACAGATGGTGATTTATGAAATGTTGCTCTGGGTCTGATCCCCGCCCCAACGACGAATACGAGAACCCCCGCCGCCTCGCGGGCGTCTCGTCTCCTCTGCCTGGCGCGACCCGCATACAGGAAACCAATGACATGTATTTACACGCACGACGGTGTCGGATAGGGGCGGGAGGGTGTAAAGTGTCTCGTGTTGGCCCCGTCGCTGGGATTCTTGGTTTTTGTTTGCTGTTAGGGGTTTGATCTGGGGCCTCGGCCGGGATTGCAAAAATGAAAGGTTGAAAGTAGTTTAAACCGAATTCGCGGGTTGGAAATTTGAAAGTGGGGAAAATCGAAAATCTCAATCTGAGACGTTTTGGATCGAAAACACCAGGAATTCAAAGTGTTCGATTTAGAATTCAACATTTTTACACATTGGAAAATTTCAGATACTTCAATCGGGGATTTCCCCGATTGAAAACTGAAAAATGACAACTCTCAATCTAGAGGTCGCGAATTGAAAAACGAAAAAAAACATGTTGTTTTGTGTGTGGCTGTGAAAAAGAACGAGTCAATCCGCAGAGGTTCGATTTGCAGGTTTGCAGTCCACCATTGGCAGACAGGTCAAGCGGGGGACGCATCAAAATGTGAGGCCCTATGGTGTCTGGCCAGGCCAGCGCGAATGGGCGGGGCGGGTTTGCTCTGTCGCGACGTTCGAGGGCAGGGCTGTATCGATTCTTGTCAACTGGGGCATCGCGAACGGGCGAGGCGGATCGGCCGAGCGAACATCAAAGTATAAATCCCTGGCCGTGAGGGGTGGGACCCCCGACATTCTCAAAGCTTTGCGTATAACCACAAGCCGATGTGTCCGGAGATGCCTCCCAGGCGAACAGCCTTGATCAGTTGCTTGAAAGTCTGCGGTGCCGTGGCGTGATTCTCCCCCCCCCTGCCCCTCCTTGCAGCGAGACCTCGCCGGACCGCCACGAAGACCACCTGGTCTGTTTGAGTCGTCAAGATCCCCAGCCAGGACACGAGCCACTCTCCCCTTCCTCTCCCCCCCTCCACTCCCGTTCCTCTTCACTCTTTCTGTCCTTCTCCGTCCGTCCCCCCCCTCCCCTGCTCATTCCGTCCGTCTACCCTCCTCCCCTGTTCCCCCCAACGCCCAAAGGTCCCTGGAGGCAACAGCGGCGCAAAACAACGGGGTCGTTTGCACCAACATTGGCGCGCAAGCTGCCCGCGTAAGGTCGCGCGTAGCGCCCTCGTCTCATTGTGGCTTGCCTCGCTGGTGGCTCGCGTAAGCCACGGCGTAAGGTCGCTTATGTCATCTCGCGCAACAACCTTTTTTGATCGTCGCTCAGGTGGCTTCGCTTGTCGGGGTGCCTCTCATGAGGGTGGGCCTTTTGCCCTCTAACATCAGCGCCTTGCCGCTGTGCCCGACGCGGGCGCTCGGTGCGTGCACTCGGGGCGGCTTCGGCGTAGCTCCAGCGCGGAGCCGACGCCGAGCCGACGAGGCCAACCTGGAGATCCGACGCGGCCTCGAGGCGGGCGATTTTCGGGCGGGCGGACCGTGCGGGGCACCCGCGAGGCGGGCGGGTGGAGCCCCGGCCAAGTCCGGCCGAGCTGGCCAGAGCGACAGGGCAGGGCGGGACGCGGTACAGTCGACCCGCATATCGGGCCCGACGAAAGGGGGGGATTGGGAAAGGGGGGTTGCGAAATTTGCTGCATGCAGCTGGTTTCGGCCCCACCGAGGGGCCCATTCCTCGATACATAGCCGCCTCCGGCGCCGGGAAGCGCCGGGAAAATCACCTACGTGAGCTGATTCTCAAACCCCCCCTTTGCTATCCCCCCCTTTCGCCCGAGCCGATACAGTCAACCCGCATAGCGAGGATGGGCAATCCCAAGGGTACCTTTGCTTGCATCCTTGCCTCCTCAGCCCATCCTCGGCCCCTTTCGCTGGCCGCGCCCCGCTCGGAGAGCTGCGAAATGGGCGTCCAGGGCCCTTGCATCCTCATCGCGCATCCTTACCATACGGGTTGAATGTAGTGCGGAGCCCTCCGGAGTCTGCTCGAGCGGAAGCGAGGTGGGTGGGAAGAGCGGGTCAGGCGGCCAGAGCCGCAGGACTACAGTGGAGACCCATGCCAAGAAACACAATCCTTGGTTGCCTCCAGGGTGCCCTGGGTTTCTTGGGTTTCGATGGTTCTGCGGTGGAAAGCCCGACGCTCCCATCCCAAAAATCAGTGGACGTCCTGGGGTCTCAGGATTGGGTTCCTTGTGGAAGGTTCCTTGTGGACGGGCCTCCACTGTACAGTGAAGTCTTGGGTCCTGTAGTTTCTGATGGGGCTCGCCGTGGCGAACGGGCGAGGTGGATTGGGCGGGCGGGACATTTAGATATAAAGTCCTGAGAATTGTCGTGCGGTGTTGCATGGCGACCGGGCGAGGCAAGTCAGGCAGGCGAGCACGTCGGGCGAGGTTTTTTTTGGGCGGTGAAGATATTTGCGGCCAGGAAAAACATTTCGTGTTCCTCCCTCTCCTCCTCCTCTTCCTCCTCCTCCTTCTCCCACCTCCCATCTCCAACCTCCTCCGCTTCCTCATCCTCCTCCTCCTCTTCCTCGTCCTCGTCCTCGTCCTCGTCCTCATCATCATCATCATCATCATCAGCAGCTGCAGCAGTAGCCGCAGCAACAGCAGCATCATCCTCATCAGCATCATCAACATCATCAGCAGCAGCATCATCAGCAGCATCATCATGTTAAAATTCACCTTCCTCAACATCATCAGCATCAGCATCATCAGCATCATCAACTTCATCATCATCATCATCATCATCATCATCATCAGCAGCAGCAGCATCATCATCAGCATCATCATCTGCATCATCAGCATCATCAGTATCATCATCATCAGCATCATCAGCATCATCATCATAATCATAGTTCCTCATCCGCCTCCGCAGGGCGCGAACCTGCTCATCCAGAATCTGGACGAGTACACGAGCGAGGACACCCTGAGGCAGGGGTGCACCTAAACGGCCTTTTGGCGACCCCGTGAGCCGCTTTCTTTCCGATCTCGTTTTGCAGCCAGGGCGAGCCCAGGACAAAACGAGGGACAACGAAAACGAAAGCGGAAGACACGTGCCCTGCCCGTGAGAACGAAGTAACAACAAGGTCAAAACGAAGGCAAAACGAGGGAAAACGTTTAGGTCCAGCCCTGCCCTGAGGGAGCTCTTCGAGCCCTTCGGAGCCGTCACGTCGGTGGCGCTGCCCCAGACCGAGCAGGGCCGGGGCCAGGGGTTCGGCTTCGTGAGCTTCGCCAGCAGGGACTCGGCCACGAAGGCGATCAGCGAGATGCATCTGAAGATCGTCAAGGTCAGGCGACGAAATCTCTACATATGTATATATATATATGTACACACATTCATCCACTGATCTCTTGTCGGGCCCTCCTGGGCCCAGGAGCTGTGTAGACGCCCTCCTGGGCAAGCCAGGAGGGCGTGGCCAGCAGCGGTGTGCACGCCACGCCGCGGCGTGTACGCCGCTGCGAGGGGAGAAGTGTCCCGGGTGCACCGGAGTGTACCGATTCGTCCTCCGGCCGTTGCGGGCTTGCCGGGGTGCCAGAACGCGACATAGGAGGGGAAAGGGGGGCGACGAGAGGGCCCGAGAGACGTCCAAGCAAGAGGGCGCCAAGATGGCCCAAGAGCGCTTCAAGAGAGCCCAAGACCGCACAAGAGCGTTTCAAAATTGCTTCAAGACGGCCAAGATGCCCTCAAAAGGAATCCCACGAGGAACTCGGGAGGCGAAAAAGGTAGGTTTTTGTTCGAAGGCGTTTGCAGGTTTTTCGTATTCGCGCTGCCTCGTGCTTCCGACGGTCCAGAACAGCCCACCAGGCTCCAGATGTCAGCTCAAGACGGCCAAAAAGGCACCCACAGGGGGCGCCACGACGGCGCAAGAGAGTCCCAAGATGGCCCAAGAGTGCCCCTAGACAGCCCAAGAGGCGCCCAAGATCGCCCAAGATGGCCCCAAGAGGGGCCCAAGAGGGGAAACACGAACCGACAATTCGAGCCTTCCGCCCCAAGAGGCCCCCAGGAGGCCCCTTGGCCCTAGAGGCCCCACGAGGTCTCAAAGAGGCCCAAAAAGACGCCCCAAGAGCACCCCAAACGGCCCCCAAGAGGCCTCCCAAACACAGAGTCAAGAGCGGAATAGCGAAGGTGATTTCAAGGGCCCCAGAGAACGCCCATAGGCCGCCAACACGGCGCCATGACGGCCGATGTTGATCGCAGGACTGGCCAAGAAGCCCCCAAGCCGGCCGAAGACTGCGAGAAGACGGCACAGAGGCCCCCAAGGAAGTATCCGAAAGGCCACAAGTATCAAACACGCATGGTCTCCTGAGTAGTTGTATCATTCACGTTTGTTGCTCTGCAGCAGCCAAGACCGCCCCGAAGATAGCCCAGAGACTGCCCAGGAGGCCCCGAGAGCATCAAAACAGCCTAAGGTGGCGCCAAGATGGCCCAAGAGGCCCCCAAGACGAGCCCAGGAGGCCCGCGAGACGGCCCAAAGTCGCCCAAGAAACGCCCAAAGATTTTCGACAGAGGGCTCCAAGAGGGCCTCCGAAGGCGGCTGTCGGACCGCGCGAGCGCTCTAAGGCAGCCCAAGGGGCCGCCCAGAGACCCCACAAGGTCTTCAAGAGGCTCCAAGAAGCCCCCAAGAGGTTACCAAGAGGCCCCCAAAAGCTCCCCCAGAGGGTCCAACTAGGTCCCAAAGAGGCCCGCCCCAAAACTTCACCAATTGTACGAGATGAGAGCCTGGAGACGGCCCGAGAGAGCCACAAAATTGCTTAAGAAACCGCTTCGAGAGTTCAGGAGGCCCTCATGACACCCCCAAGAGGTCGCTCCAAAGGATGCATTTCGTTGCGTTGGTTCGAATTGAAGCGTATGGGTATATCTTTGTATCTAATGTGTCCGCAGTCTTGCAACTTATTCAACACATCTTCAAGGCAACTACGGGCACACGCACCCACTTGAGTGCTATTGTGAGCTGGCCAAGGACTGGGCCTTATTAGAACCTAAGCGCGCGCGAAGCGTGCGCGGTTTTAGTGTGTATATATCTATGCATATATATATATATATACAGAGAGAGAGGGGGAGAGAGAGAGAGAGAGAGGAAAAAAAATGTCGCCCTACAAGGGCCAGCCGTTGCACGTGGCCCTGCTGGCAGCGAAGTCGACGGAGCCGCCCAAGGTGCTGGACGTGGCGCCGCTCGTCCAGAACGCACACAAGAAACCGGAGACCAGAGGAGAAAAGCATACCGATGCCGATGTCTTTCCCTCGTGCTTCGCCTGCTTGGGACTCTTGGGGGGGCCCTCGGCGCCACGTGCGGATCCGCCCGGAACCTCCGGGCAGAACGCACCCCCCGAGAGGTCCAGGGGCAGCGGCATTGGCATCCTCTCGCCACCCCAGGACGTCAGCACGAGGCCGCCGCAGTTCAGCTTCCGCGACACCGCGTCGGCGCTCTGGCACAGGAGCGCCGTGCCGGGGGGGCAGGGAAGGGCCGCCCAGGCGCCGCGCTCGTGCCCGCCGCCAGGGCAGCCGCGCCGCGGGGGCGTGAGGTTCTGGCCTCTTTGTCGGGAGTGCGTAGAGGGAGGGTTATCCCAAGGTTCGGGTGTTGCTAGAAGTACCCCTGGCCCAAGGTACCCCCAGGATTCTCGGGGTGGCCAGACGGCCTCCACGGCACCCCTCAGGAGGCCCAGAGGGCCCCAGGGGCTCCAAAATGGAGCGAAACGCTGGGGGCACCTTGGGCCAGGGGCACTTCTAGCAACGCCCGAAAGGTGGGGCTGGGGAACGGGCCCAGCTGGATGCTCCCGTGTAACGCGTTTCCTTCTTCCAGGGGCCGTCGGGAGCGATTGTCCCTCCAACCCCACCCTTGCCCCAGCCCCACCGATGTGCCCTCCCGTTCTTACTCTCAGCCCCTTCTTCCGAGGCGGGCATTTATGCATGACCACCGCCTGGAGGATCGATTTTCTGGGACCTCGGCATGCGGTGGATATTCTGGACATGTTCGGGGCTATGGGGTCCAGTACACATAATATATATATATATATATATATATATATATATATATGGTCGCCCCCCCAAGCGCCTCCCACACCACCAAAACAACAAATCAATCATTAATCGCTTGCTCCTTCTCATCCTCCTCCTCTTCATCCTCCTCCTCTTCCTCCTCCTCCTCATCCATCTGCACCTCCTCCTGCTCCCCACAATAAACACCCAAAACACCAAACATACACAGTGTTTGGCGCCCTCGATGCAAGGAAATGCTGTGTATGTTTTTTGTTGTTTTGTTTTTTTGGTTTGAGGATCAACGAAACACTGTGCATTTTTTTGGGGGGGGGGGTGGAGGCCCCATGCTCGCAGCGGCCTCCCTACCAGCACCCTTCTGCTTGCCAGATCATAGAACCCAAAAAATCAAACATACACTGTGTGTGGCGCCCTCGATGCAAGGAAATACTGTGTACTTGTGGTTGTGTTTTGGTTTGTTTGGTCTGAGAATCAACGAAACACTGTGTATGTTTGGTTTGTGCTGGTTTCTTTGGTTTTGGAGGCCCCATGCTCGCAGAGGCCTCGGCGAACATGGGGCTCCTAAAACCCGAAAAAAAGGTACACAGTGTTTCGTTGATCCTCAGACCCCCCAAAAAAAACACAACCAAAAATGCACAGCATTTCCTTGCATCGAGGGCGCGAAACACTGTGTATTGTTTGTTTTTTGTTTGTTTTTTTCTGGGAAGCAGAAGGGTGCTGATAGGGAGGCCGCGGCGAGCATGGGACTTCGAAAACAAAAAAAACACTTTGGTTTGGGAAGCAGAGGGCATGGCGCTGGTGATCAGATGCATCGAAGAAGTGATGCGGGGGGCGATTACGCGTGCTAGTACCTCATCAGGGGCACACGGCGCGCGCCACCTCGGCGGCGCGCGCTCCATCAGCGCCCGAGATAACTGCGGCCGTAACGCCCTCGCGAAGCAAGCTGGCGAACTCTCAGAGGCCACCGAACTCCGTCAGAGGCCTGCCGAAGAGTTGGCACCAGCACCGCCCTGCATCTCCGACGTGAACTCATCGACCAAGCGATCGAGCTTCTCGTTCTCGTTCTTCCTGCGGCTGCTGACGTCGATGCGGAGCTGCTTCGGAGAAGGCGTCTTGTCCAAGTCGATAGTGACCCCGCTGCCAGCCATCAGCTTGCGCTTCCAGACGCCAGGCTCCGCCTTCACCACGGCGCTCGCGGGGGGGGTTGGGGTCGCCTCGCAAGGTGCTTCCATGTCGCCACCGTGGCCGAAGACGTCCTCCTCGCCCTGGTTCGCCTCCATCTCCTGGGCGGCCGCGTCAATCTCCGCATCGGCGAGGTTGGCAGAGGCAGCGGTCTGCGCTGGCTCTCCTGCGGACTGTTCGGCGGCATCGCCTTCCTCCTCCTTGAACTCCTTCTTGGCCTCCGCCATCAGCTTCAGCATGTCGCGCTTCTCGAACGCCAGGAGATTGTCGAATTCTTCCTGGTCGCGCTTCGCAGCGTTGCGCATGAAGTTTTGGGGGCACTTGCCCGCCTCAGGTGTGATGTAGCCATCCATGAGAGGCAGCTTCTCCACGAGCGCGACCGTGCCCGCCGGGCGGAAATAAACATTGTACTTCCTGTTCAGTAGGATGTTGCAACGCTTGAGCATGGCGCCGATGTTGCTGAGGGACGCTTGATCATCTCTGCCAAGTAGGCCGTGGTACGCTTCTCCTTCTCGCCAGAAGTCGCGGCGAGGAGCCAGTCAGTCTGCTGCGGCTCGCTCTCGGCATCGCACTCGTTATCACCACCGAAACAAGCTTGATTCCTCTTGAACTTGGCCGCGCCCCAACGCACGTAGACGTTCGCTTCGACGTGCGTCGGGTCGAAGAACGCCTTCAACACGCGCGGCCGTTGGTCAGCCAAGTCGCCGTCGTCGAACACGCAGGGAACCCAGGTCTCGCCAACCTTCGGAGAGATCTGAAGAAAGATTTTATGGCGCTTCCGAGCCTGACTCGGAAGCGCAACGACCGCCCCCTTCAAAACTCTCTGACCTCTCCTCTGAAGAAATCCATCTCCGAGGCAACGCGAACGGCTGGAGTGGCGACCGCGCGGCCGCGCTGCTCGTTCACAAGGTCGGCGTGGTACCTGGCCAACGCCATGGCCATGATGTACATCAACGGCGTCTTGCCAAACTTGGCCTCGCCAATCAGCAGAGCGCGAGCGTCCAAGAGGAGGGGCGCCCCTGCTCCTCAGGTCCGCGCGCCAGGAAGCGGCCGCGTCGGGGTGCAGCTGGGCCAGCCACTCCTCCTGTGAGATTGCACCCGCGACCAGGGATTCTCATTTTGGTCAGCTATACTGATGTTGGTTATCATTTTGCAGACACGTTCGTCTCAAATCCTTGTGCGGTTTTGGCATTGATGCCAACGATATATGGAATTACTGCCATGACAATTTTTGAACGCTATATTCAATCATTGTTCTCGTGGCACATGCGCTCATTGATACGGTACCGATAAAGGTCCTGGTAACGCCATGAATGTCGCTGCGGTGGTTGCTTTGGTTGTGGTTGCGACGTTCGATACTGCGAGGCACGCGGTTGTGGCTACACGTCCAGATGTTGACATTTACGTTTCTTGCAGTCGCTGTCGTTGTGTGCGCGGTTGTAGTTATAGTGACCGTCATGGCGGTGATTCCGTCCATAGTGTTTGTTTTGGTGTGAGTACTCAATCTGGCTCTCGTCATGAGCATAGCTGTAATTATGGTGAATATTGGTTGTGTTTTTTGTTGTGGTTATGGTTGTGATTATGGTTGTGTCGTATGGTTCTGTTATAAATAAAGCTGCTTGTGTCTGTTGTGCTGGTGAACCTATCGTTATTGATGTAGATATGTTTCTGGGCATGGTCGCGGGTTGCAAACTCAGGGTCCTGCTTCTGAGTCGGGTGCGCGGCCAGCTTGCGCAGCACCGCTCCGCGTCGGTGGCCGGTCGTCGCTCCCATGGCGGTGGAATCTTGGCAGAGAACGCAGGAGCCAGCTTTGTTCAGGATAGACGGTTTGCCTGTGGATCCCCAAGCGCACGCTTTGTTATCACGGTGAAGCACCATGGCTGGTCTGTACTGACGGCGGTGGTCGTAGCGGGTGGCGCGCCACGTAAAGCTTGAAACCAAAAACGGCTATAGGAGGATCCTGCCGAAAGAAGAAACATCGGCAACGTAAGAATCCAAACGAACACAATTAAGTACATGATGAACGGATGTGCGCGGACCGTGAAGCTCGTCCTCCGCTTCCCATCATCATCTTTATCATGATCGTCATCATGTTCATCATCTTCATCGTCGCCATTGTCGTCGTCATCGTCATTGCGATTACGTTCGCACGCGTACTCGTACTCGTACTTGTCCTCGTCATCATCATCATCATCATCATCATCATCATCATCATCATCATCATCATCATCATCATCATCATCATCATGATCATGAGCATTGTCGTCGTCGTTTCTCCGTCTACCTCCGCTCCTCCTCCCCCTCCTCCCCCTCACTTTCTTTTTTCCACATCCGAATCCTCTCGCCCTCAGCGTCCTCCTCCCAATGGGGTGGAGGCATGAGGGCCCTGCCACTGAGGCCTTCGGTGAAGCTCCATATGGAACAACTTACTGTTGAGAGGAGCGGCACGCAACGTCTCCCATTGGGGCCTGCGGTAGAACTCACAACGAAGACATGATGATGGAGGAGCGTGAGGATAAGAATGAGGAAAACAAGCATTTACGATCATTCAAACGGAATGCTGTGGGGGGAGGGGATGTGGGTGGAGGCAGGGTTATGACGGGGAGAAGGGAAAAGCGTATCATGAGAGGGAGCAGGAGGAAGATGAGCAGGAAGAGGAAGAGAAATATTATCGTTGGGGGGCGTTGTGGGGGGCGAGCATATATATATATATATATATACACATACATGTGCACAATCATACGTGTATCTATATGTATATATGCACACCGACATATATATATGTATACATATGTATACATATATATATATATATATATGTGTATCCATGTCCATGTCCAGTTACCGCTGGGGCACCAAGACTTCGGTTCCCAGGCGGTGGACATGGATGAATCCCCGCCTCGCACTTCTCCGTTCCCCTCTTCCCCCAGAGGATGGCGGGTTTCGTTGTCCGTGCAGTTTTGCCTGCGTGAAGGTAGGAGAGCGAGACTGGCGGTCTCCGTGGCGTGCGCACGAGACGCCACACGCCTGTCTCTCCGATTTGGTTTGTCGACGGTCTCAAGAATCGCTACAGGGTGGTCTCAGAGGTGCAAACGCCATCTCCCATCTTGCCCCCCCCCCCTTCCCTCTCGGCTTGCCCGCCCTTCTCCTAGTCCCATCTCCCACCCAGCCTCTCCCCCCCATCCCTGCCCTTCACTTCCCCATCCCTCTCCCTCCCCTCCCCGACCATCTTGGAAGCCATCGATCAAGTGAGGGGGGG